CCTCGCATGGTTTCCGCACATGTGAAGTAGACAGGCAGCGTGTAAACCCTGTCCAACTGTCACACATTGCGTCCTCGCCTCTCAAAGTCCTCTTGGATGCCCGTCAGCAGCTCGAAAACGGCAAGGTTCCGATCTCGGACCATCGTCTGCTGCTCCTTGAGGAGCCGCCTTCTGCCGTCCTCCGCAAGCGGACCTTCGTCCTGATTGGGCCCAAAGCGCTTCACGATTTGGGGGTCCTCGTGTGCGAGTCCGTCGAGAAGAGCTCCAAACTCGGCCTTCGACAGCCGCTGTCCGAGCTTCTCGTCTTTTGGTCGGTGCTGTGAAAGGCGTGCAAGCGCCTCTCGCAGCTCGGGCTGGAGCAAAAGCTTGCGCTTCATTCCGCCCCCGTCTAGACCCGCGCCGCAGAAGTCGCGCCCCGAGATGGAGCGCTTCTCGAGGATCTCTCCGTTCGAGTGTCGGCTCGGATGGCAGAAGGTGCGCCTCGCATCAAGGGCACCGCTCCCGAGACCGCCCGGCTTCTTTGCGCCGTCCGTGCTTGCCAAACCGACAATCCCGTCACAGAGGAGTACCTGCACAAGCATTGAATTTAGTGTACATCAACGCGTATCTTGAGCAAGCCAAATCATTCGATAAGCGTCGCATACAAGAGATACTCGCAGGGGCAAACACTTCACTTGAATACCATTGAATGTACACTGAATGTCATTGGACGTGCACGAATCTCCTATACTAATTTCAATGTGTTTATCATATGTTCATGGAACATTTGACAGCAAAGACACGAGAGACAGAAGATTCTCGTGTCCATCAAGTTGACACGTTCTCACCTTAGGATGGGGCCCGCATAGCGAGCAGCAATCCCGAATTCCCAGCCCAACGAGCTTGAAGTAGTCGAGGCTCGCTCGGCGCCACGTCTCCTCGCTCAAAACGATGGCGTCGGGTGAGCGCTGGAAGGCCGCCTGAGACGTTGCGAGCTCCGCCTTGAAGGAATGGCCGTGTTGCATGCCTCGAAGCAACAATTGGAGACTCTCTTGGACGAAGATCGTCCTTCGGTTCCACGCGTACAGCCCGAGGTGCTCGCCGTCAAAGTGAACGGCATGCGCCTCGTCCAAGCATCGGCAGTGGTAGATCCGAACCCGCACTTGCTGGCTCCACGACGACGCCGTCACGGCCGCCGCGACCCACGCCTCTTCCCATGCCCCGCCGCACCGAGGGGCCTCCAACGGGCACGGAGCGCTCAGCAGCCCCTTCTCCGAAAGCTCCTCGAGGTGGCAATCTCGCAACTTGCTCACGCGAACGGGACGCTCCAGCGAGGTCACGAGCGGGTCGTGGAACTCGACCGCGTCGCTCAGTCTCGCTAGCTTGGGCTTCGTGACCTGAGTTGCCTCCGTGGTGAGCAACATGACGGGGACGCGCACCCTTGAAACTTCCCCATGCTCGCATCGCCCGTCTCGAGCCAACGATGCCAACGTGCAGCTAGCGCACGCGTCTACCCAACCTCGGATTGCCACCTTGCCCCTTGCGTCCGCCGGCGGTTTTGAATCCCAACCGGCCGGCGCCTCCGTGTGCTGGCTCCCTCTATGCGCCGCCCACAACGCCTTGCTCCTCCTCGCCCTCTTGCGAGGGTGCACCTCTCCTGCACCCCCCTGCTCCACGTCTCTCTCGATCCGACTTTCCACCATGGGTTGAGCGGCAGCCTCTCCAAACAAGCGCTCGTGTTGGCGGCAAAAGCATGAGTCGCCAGCGCACTTGGCCGGCTCGTGGGGACGCTTCTCGAGAAGACCGACTAGATACCGCTCCTCACTTTTCAACCCCCCATCACTCCCCCCTTGTAAGGGGGGGACCGCGGCAGGCACCTCCCCAATCTCGGGCAAGCCCCCCTCCCATCGCTCAAGCCAGCTTAGCGAAGCCCTTGAGAAGGGCTCCAAAGGACTGAGGATCAGTCGATCGGCCATGGCGACGGCCCCTTCATGATCCGACCTCATGGCCGCCTTTGCCGCCGAGACGTGCGAGCAGTCGGTGAGGCTCGCGCATCCGTCTCTTCTCCCTTCGCAGTACCACACCCCCTTGCAGCTGCGGAATAGCATGCGCCTCTGAGGCCCCAACGCCCCTTGGAGGTTGTCGGCGACCGCAAAGTAGCTGCCCGTCGCGTCCGACCCTATCCGCTCGAGCCTTGCCCCTCTGCCGAGCGACTCGCACGTGGGTAGCTCCGCGGTATGAACCCAGCTTTCGCTGAGGGCCGCCATTGCCAGCTTATGGACGCATGGCGCGTCCTCCATCAATCTCCCCCGATTGCATGTGCAGCAGAGCTTGCCGAGCGCGTTCCACCACACACTCTCTGGCAGCCCGTGGACCTTGTCAGGCTTTCCCAGCCCTTTCAAGCGGCCCTCTCCGTTGTGATCCCAACTAGTCATGTACAATCTGAGCGGCGGCGATGCGGAGCCCGTCGGCAGGTACATGCGAGCCGACTCCTCGGGGCATATCATCAGCTTCAGGTAGCGCATGGCTTGTTCCTTGACGCTCAACGCCCCCTGATCGACCACCTCTTGAACGACAAGAGAGCAAGTCTCTTAGGCGAACTTGCTCATTGCGACCAGGCAAACTCAATACTAAAGCACCAGTCGAATTATAGTCTCGAGTTTGAAACAAGTCCTTTGCTTTATGCCCCCGCAAATCAGAATTGTTTTCGAGCAACCTCAGCAGCACAGTAAATTCTCTTGAGACTCGTTGTCGATGCCCGACCCTTGCAATGTAACAAAGATGGCACTTTGCACGAGCTGGGCAATAGCATGATCTTTGATTGGCATGCATCTTTTGTTGTGATGTTCATCAAGAAAAAATTCAAAGCCTCACCTCGTTGGAAGCACCTCCGCCTGCTCTCGGCCGCACCCCCTTGGCCATGCCTCGGCTGCCTATTTGAGTTGCCGCCGTAGAGATCTGCCGCTGTCCCGATACTGTCCTAGCGTTCTCTCGATGAAGAAAGGCGATCAACTCGTCGGTGAGCTTCAGAGTCTGAGTCCATGCCCCATCCCTTGTCTGCCGCTCCATGAGAGTCGCCTCTCGCCCGCCGTCCTTCCTACCACTTAGAGTGACCGACAACCCGTCAGCGCTGTCGCCAACCACGCCAAGCAGATTGTTGACGCAATGCAGACACACAATCTGCTTGCACTGCTTCGACTTTGGGATCTCAGCGCTTACAAGGTAGCCCATTTGAGCGCCGTGGTCGCTTTTGCGAAAATTGACCCTCTGCAACCCCGCAGCCTCTTTGCTCTTCACCCAAACTTGATGCAAGCACAAGAGGCATCTCACTGCAACACGCTCCTTGCAACTCGAAAGATCAACCCTAATTTGACCAGACAAAAGGCACCGCAGGCTACCTTGCTCGACATGCTCAAGCCCATTGCTGAAATGCTGAAGACTAGTCTGAGACTCCATGGTTACCAACCCCCTTTTGCTCTACTCCAAGGGGGGGCGGACCTCCGTAAGCCCCGTGCGCCTCCCCCTACCTCCTCCTACCTCGGTCCGGCTTTACCGAGCCGCCTTTTCAGCCTGCCACCTTCACCCTAAGTGCCTACCCCGACCTTAGGGGCTACGGTGCCCGGTCGCTTGGCCCTAAGTTCCGAGCGTTCGACGCACGGTGATCGAACAGTCTCGAAGCCCTCCTCGGGGGGGTGCTGACGTGGCGTCCTCTCCGGTACATGCAACAAATTTTACCGTCACCGGCCAAATCCGGCACGATCATTGACGCACGTGCACCGTCCGATCGTTCAGGAGCGATCGTGGCCCTTCATTTTAGTCCGAACTTCATTTGGTAGGCCCATTTGGCATATGATCGAGTACTCGCGTGCTGTCTGACGTCACGTGCCGGCACCGATCATCTTTTCCAGGTTCCGCCGCAATTTGCGCAGGTGCCAGGATGTCGAGCTACATACTCACCGACCATGAACCTCCGATCCCCGGGCGCGCAGATTCAGGGGCAGCAGATACGGGTTCAAAAAGGTGCGTTGGCCTTCGTGGTGGCCGGTGCTCGCGTACGGTAGGCGGGTCGGGTGGTTTGTGATAAGTAACCTCTGATGCACGTGTAAAACTTAGTCAAGCTTCTTGTACGTTCTACGGCCTTGATCAACGGAGATGGGATCGGAGATTGGCACGATCAGCGGGCGGCCGACGCAAGCCAGCCGGCTTCCGGTGACCGGTGAAGTTTGACATAGCCCGGAATCCGGTCCTATTCCGGGAGGGGTCTTACATCCATGTACGTCGAGCAAATTGAATTTCACTGACAATGTGACATCATGATCAGTGTCAGAATCTGCCAGTGCACGCGTCTTCTTCCTTGCTCGTTTTTGCTGCGGCTTTCCTTGTGTGCGCAACGTGCTACGTGCTTGTAAGTTGTAGGTATTATTTCCTTGCATGAGGTGGTGACAATTCCAGCTCCGGACTGAGCATAACACAGGGGTGTCTGAACATGAGAGCGGGAAGCGGGACGTTTTGTAGTACCTTTATGTTGCTGCAGTCCATTTGTAACCCTACATTACCCTGCGTTCGGCAATTGGCAACAGACGATAACGCCTTACAAAGCAATTGAGCTGGCACGAAATCGATCACACATCTGGACGTTGTCTGGGTAATTGGAATTGAGTAGCCTGTAATCAGCTTCAGCAATTGCTGAAAGAAACAAAAGTTTTAAGGCAAGGATAAGGTCGTCCCCGGAGGCTAGCGCCGCAGATTGGTTTTTCCTTTGCAGAAAAGATCTCGATTCAAGAATTGCAGATTGTGGCAGAGCTAATTTTGGATGCTGGGGAATGACCTCAGGCAAAGTTATGGCTGCTGGGCCAGGCATATGGAGTCAGGCCCTCATAAAGTCACCTGTCTGCGACGTGTCATTTGCCGCAGTGCAGGCAAATGCAATCATGGAGGATGCGAGCCAGGTAGTGATTGGGCCCGAGGGTTTCTTTGTCACTGTGAATGATGGACATGGAGGGGCAGAGGCCAGCCGGTTTGCAACTGACAATCTGTACAAGCATTTACAAGGTGAGAGAATTGAAGCTCCTGGCACGTGCCCTACAGGAAATCGGGGTTAACAATTGCGTCCTAGAATACTCCGCGCACACCGCCTTCTCCAGGGGCTGCTCATACCCAGATCGATGCTAAAGCACGCTCAATTGTGTTACACCTGGTCTTTTATTGAATCAGATTGCCCCTGCAAGCGGCGGAGAAAACCTGCAACCAAACTGTCCCGGCCCTTCCGATCTTGTCAGATTGATCCAGATTCTGTGTTGCAGTCAGAGCTGAGACATGAATATGAGCAGCTGTCGCTGAACAGGCAGGGATTTGCAAGTAAAAGTGGCAAAGGCCTTCCAAACTCAAAACATTTGGCTGCAATGCAGCAGAGCTAGAGGAGGGCCAGCACTGGAGCCAGTAGAAAGTTAATGAACCCTAAAGGCTTCCTTCTCTAAAATCTCTGTCTGTGCTGTTCATGTGCTCTCTGAATGCGGGGTTACTTTCAAGCGATAAAAACCCGAGAGAAGCTGGCAAGTGTCCATGCATAAGGCAGCAGTAATCGACCATATTTCTGAAGGTCCATTGCCCTTTGTACAGACTCTTTTCCAAGACGCGTTTACTCACATTGGCGTCCCGACGCCCTCCTTGACCTTCACTTGATGTATCATCAGATGGTGCATTCAAGCCAAGTCATCTCCTAGGAATCCACTTAACACTAGCGACCACCTTGCCGGTTCTGCTGTTTCCACTCAAGGACTCTTTTTGCACCCCGGTCTTTGCTGACACAGATGCCCCCATATGAATGCAGTCCATGCTGCGGAGGAGGGCGGCCTGGGCGTGCCCGCGCTGCAGCACGCGTACGAGGCCCTCGAGGCCAGCTTCACTGAGCTCGTCTCTCGCAGCTTCGAGGAGCATCCGCGGCTGGCGTGCGTCGGGACGTGCTCGCTCTCGGGTCTAGTTGCCGGCGACGGCGAGCAACTGATTGTTGGGAACTTGGGGGACACGCGCGCGGTGCTGGGGACGAGTAGCGGGGCAGTGAAGAAGTCAGATTCGAAGAAAGGTTTGATACGCTCGCATGGGGACGACGAGTCGGTCAGCGCAGTGCAGCTGTCAACGGACCATAACGTAAACATTGCGGAGGAGCGGCGGAAGATGGAGGAGCGCTTCCCGGAAGACAAGGAGGTCGTTATTGACACGCGGGGATCATACCGAGTGAAGGGGCGAATACAGGTGACTGAGATAGATATTGCTTCTGTTTAGTGTCGTTTCTTCTGGGGCCTGCGTTGACCTTGAACAGGAAAGTGCCCTGGAGATGAGCACGTGGCAAATGATGGCAGGAGGCGCTGATATCCTGCTTATTGTTGAGCTATCATGAAAGTCGAGACGTGTTGCTCTTCCTTTCTGAAGTTGTGTTGGCTCGATATGGCAGCCAAAGCTGGATTGAAGAGGCCAGTAGGAATCTCAGAAACTTGGCCGTCTCTGGCCAGTTCTGTTCTTTGGCAGGTCACCTCCACTCGGAAAGCATCTGGCCTCAGTATCAACGCCACTTCTGGCATCTGGCTCAAGCTCAAAGCAGTCCGTGGATTGTTGATTGCTACATTTAGCGACATAGCAGAGTCTGCTCGAGAGATTTGAAGGATTGGAAGTATGTTTAGAGTGGTATTTTGAGGGCAGTCTTGAGTGGAGTCTTAATGACAGTGGGCTTCGAGCGTCGCTTGGCAAAGGCCTCAGCAGGGGAGGACCCTCAGAACTTTGTTCTAGCCAGTCAACTACCTGCTCTATCTGAGCTGCGCATTGATGGACTGTACCAGTGCTTCTTGGCACTTTGACTGACTTGCAGTGCCTTCCTGCCTCCACTTATCTGACCATATCTTGATCGTAATTGCAATTTGACAATCTGGATATGTCAACCAGGAAGTACACATATCTGCCCTTTCCCCCGAGATTGTTGCAGATTCTCATTCAGCTATTGACACAGGGCTGCAGCTCTGGAGACACATCCATGCTTCACAAGGGACCTCCGACTTACCCCGCCAAGCTTATCACGGCGGATTCGCGCACAACCCTTGCCTCTGTCCAAATCACACCTGCACTGGCATTGCAAGCTGCTGACGAAATCAACTTCACCCCCACTCTCAGGTGTGCCGAACGATCGGTGACGTGTACATGAAGCACCAGGAGTTCAACCAGTCCCCCCTCCCGCCCTCCATCCAACTGAAAGAGCCGGTGACGACGCCATATCTCCTCTCAGAGCCCGCGATCCACGTGCGTACGCTTCAGCCGGGAGACCAATTCGCCATCTTCGCGACGGACGGGCTGTGGGACCTGTTGTCCAATCAGGAGGCGGTTGACATGGTGGCGCGCCATTCGAAGGAGGTGAGAGCAACGATTTTGGCAGCGATTCCTTTATGTCATAGTTTGCTCTTAATGTTTTGTGCAACTCTTATGGGCATGGCAGATTCGCCTTCCCGTGCTTTCGTTATTGCTACAGAGTTGCTTTGTGATGGTCGTGATGTTGAGACGGCCCAGAAAACAGGGAAAACGCCTTCACGTGAAGACAGTGCCCCTCACTTCGTCGTGTGCTTACAATTTGAGGCGGCTGAGGTCAGAATATAGAAAAGTGAGGCCTGCTATTCTCGTTCAACAAGCGCACTTCATATGCCTTGTGATGGAATAAGAAGCGAAGACGCGGCACACGGTTTGCACCAGAAGTTTGCCCCGAGAATCTTGTTGATGGAGACTCCGTCCTCGTCTCTTCACCTACATTGGCAGTCCACTGTTCGAAAGGTCAGGAAGCAAAGCAGGCCTTTGCTTTTGAACGGCTGGTACATACCTGTTCAACTTCGAAAAAATTGTGACCCGGACTCTTCGGAGAGTATCCATTATGTCCGTTGTGTCCCTCAAGCCGAACCTGGCATCTGCAGGGGATTGCGAAACGGCTGATCCGAACGGCGTTGGAGCGGGTCGCCAAGCGGATTGACGTCAAGTATGCGGAGCTCGAGCGGCTCGGGGTTGGGCAGCGGCGAAACTTGCACGATGACATCACGGTCGTTGTCGTCTTCTTCAAGCCTTTCCCGAAAGTACGGACAAACATTCCGCTCAAAATAGTGAAGGGGGGCGAAGATGCCGGATCCGCTTGGGGCACGGAGCCCCCCAGCCCGAAGGGCAACCTGCGTCTGCACACGACAACGAACAGGCTGATGCACTCCTTAGCTTGCTCGTGTTGCATGGTTGACGACTGAATTCAATGATGTTACTAAGGCTCTGTACAGTAAGTAATGGAAGTAAAGGGTGAACAGCTTAAATTCTTGGCTCTAGAAATCCTCGCTGCAGCAATTGTAGTCTGGTACCGCTGGAGGCTCAAGCTTTTCCTTGAAATGAAGGAGGGTCTTTCCGGCGGCTTGAGGAGTTGTTGTGAGCTCGGTAAGTGCAACTTGATTGATCGAGAAGTGACGCCGAGGTAGCAACCTGGAGGGCTGTTGCAAGCTCGACATATCTTCCACTTTAGCTTAAGACTTCACAGATGTTTTCGGCTACTGGTTCGAGCTATCAGTGCAGCTATTTGCGTCGAATAAAGGATTTGTGGCTGACAAAACCATCAGCATACGAAGCTTTAGGGTGCAGGCCGACTTAGGAGGTTCGTGTGAAGGTTTTGATCCGAATTGATCCGTCCGATCGTGGCCGGCCCCCGGCTGCCCGGCCTTGCGGGCACGAGGATTTTTCGGAAGCTTTTTCGTGTATGCTGTATGCCGCCCGCCTTGCATGACTATGGCTCAATCTGTGGGGACATGGCAACCCCGGTGATTGTATTCAGACTTTGCACTTAAGGACCAGGAATCTGCTTCATCACTTTATGCCGTCATTTTCTTAGTATTAGTATGGCTGTCAAGCTGCCGAAGTATATGCGATATGACTCAATAATTGCGCACACGCGCAAGATCATGCTCATGCATGTGCATCCTTTTTGCATTGGCAATTATATAGCTTACTAGTATGGCATGGTGGCCGCGATCTGTCCAACAACGTGCAGCGCGCTAGCTGCACAGCAGCCTAGCTCAACTCAGTTCCAATTGAGTCGATCGACTTCACCATCTCTTAATTAGCAGGTAAGTTTCATGGCGTGCGGCCGCTATACCTATACATTGGATTGAACTTCAATCACATGCATGCACTTGAATTGAGGCCTGCAGTGCCATGGCCAGTGGCCGCGGCCGCCCCGGCTGATGGGGCCGCGCGCCTATATCGAAGAGAATGTGCACAATCCTCTCAAAGGTCATGCTGCTGCCATGCAGCTTCCGACCATGCAACGTTGCCGCCAAGTTCGATGAATGTCACTTACTTTAGCTGAAGCAGGCTGTTGTACAATTAATGTTCATGTTGTATACCTGATTGGAATTCATAGCGCGGCCAATCCGCGCTGCTCATGCCATGCAAGACGCACGCGCTTGTCTGCACTCACTGAGGCGCATCGTGATTGCTAGAAAGCTCTGTCGGCCACTCCGCATGCTTGCCACCTCATAGCATACATTGGAAAAGTTGATTCAATAATTGCTGCGCACGAATTTGCCTGCCCATGGTCCAGCGCCGGCCCATGGAAAGTAAGCGGCCATTCGAAAACCTTCAGGTGTATCTGTTAAATAGACGATGGCGGCAGGCTTCCTAAGTCGATAGTGGGGATCGTATTCTCAGTGCAGCGCAGGTCCCAGCATGGAAAAGATCAGGCAGATGTAGTAGCCAAACCCACAGGCTTTGGAGCCGTCGTTTCGTACCAATCGACGGTCTACCATCGGTCAACGCCTCAACCCACAAAATCGAGCCGCCCGACAACGGCAGCTTAATAAACACTTGACGATAGAAATTTTGTTTGGAAGGGCGGCGCTGTAGCTCAATCGGTAGAGCGCCAGAACACCCCGCCTCGAGAGGGGGTTCCGCAGCGTGGCTGGAGTTTTCCGCCGGGCAGTGTGCCGCATCATCTGCGCAATCCGGCGTCACGTGTCGCGCTCGAGCGCGAAGACGGGCGTCGCCTGGTGCTGGCGGCTGAGAGATGCGGGTTCGAGTCCCGCCAGCGCCGAAAACCTTTTGCGAGCACCTCTGCTAAAGAAGTATACTTGATTCGTCTGAACCCTCTTTCGTTTGATTTGACGGCTCAAGTGAGAACGGGGATGAAGCACGAGCGTTGCTGATTGAAAGGAACTTAGTAGAAAGCTGGAGCCTGTCAAAGCCCTCAGTCTGAGGGTGATCTCTGGTGGTCAAGGAGGGTGTATCAACGAAAGGAATCCTGGTTTGGCACTTCCAGTCCTATTATATCAGAGGCGTCAGCTAGCCAGCGTTCTCCTTTTTTCCTACCTCCTATCCAGCAGCTGCTGCCATGCAAGACTTCTTTTTCACAATGGGTTTAATCATTCACAAGCCACGAGTCACGTCTAGGATACCCCTCGAAGTTGGTAAGGCAGTCTGTCGCAGAGTAAAAGATCACCTTCGAGATTCCTTTCGAGACGTGTTCCCCGACTGGCTTCCTTAACGTGGTAACCTTGATATAAGCTGGGAGTCTGACAAGCTAACCGCGGTCAAGTTGGACTTCGTATCTGACGACTCTTCAATGCCGCATGATAAAAAGCAGTAGCGTCAATAATTAAGAGGGAGATACTTTGAAAGCTCCGTTTCAGCAGTCCTGATATACGGTATGCAAGTAGCCAATGCTCAGATGGTAAGTGAGGTCTTCGGTCAAGTAGCGACAGTTGCCTCCACTTCGCCATACCTCGTTCTTAAAAAAAAAGGAAAGGCGTCCTATTGTTGTGAGCAGGTCATTGACAATTATTGACGGAAGGCGCAAGTAAGCTCCTGACTCGATTCAGTGCCCAAAGTAAAATCAAGTATAGCAATTCATCGATCAAGTCCCCGCGTCCATGTATCAGATGAAAGTGTACGGATCTTTGCACTGCAGATGGATGAAGTCAATTTTCTTCAACACGTCCTCCGAAAGCTCAATTTCAAAGGCGTCCAGGTTCTCTTTCAAGTGGGTCGTTTTCGTCGCCCCAATGATGGTCGAGCCGACGAACCATCGGCTGTTGACCCAAGCCAAAGCCAGCTGCGCCGGCGTGATGTCGAGCTCTTTTGCCAAGTCCACGTACTGGGCCACAAGCTGGCCAACCTGGAGCATGACGCGTGGGACCACAAAGTAAGGAGCGTGGTGTTCTCAGAATTAAAGTGCTGGGAAGCGTTGCTCAGTATGGGCTTCTCGGGAAGACAAGGGGAACAAATGCTTAGAGCGTTGCGCTGTAGCACTACGTATTTGCATTCAGGCTTTCACGCCCTTGGAACACAATGTTCTTGCAAGAACACTCCCAGGTCCCAGATTTGCAGAGTTTGCTTCAACTCCCCGATGAGGAGAGACAAAGGAAGAGGGATAGACACGAGAAGACGACGGCGGCCCATGCAAACACACCGAGTCCCCTACTAATCAACCAAACGACGAAAACCCCCACGACGGGTCATTCTGCTCTTGCAGATCAAGCAGCAACATTAACACACAACCGGCTGAAACGACACATCAAGCTATTCGCGGGATCCGTCCGATCAAGGCAGTCAGATCGGTGAAAGCTCATGAATCTGATACAACTTGAAGAAACAAATCAAGTTCTGCAGCTTATGGCTCCGCTTTCCGAAAAGGACTTGATACAAGAAGCGACAAGCAAAAAGCAAGGCTTACATAATATTCTTGCAAACTCTGCTGACTCAAGCGAGGTCCAAGTGCTAACCTTATCCTCCAGGTACATTTGATACACCGGGATCTTGCTCTCCGCGAGCCGCGCCCCCTCTGGCCGCGCGCCGCCCAGGTACTTCCCGGTCAGGACCCCCTGCCCGAGCGGTGACCACGGCAAGAGTGCCATGTTATAGTGACTGGGCGCCGCCAACTCCGCCAGGCTCGTCTCAAACGACCGGTGCAGCAGGTTGAACTGGTTCTGGATCGTGATGGGTCGCGGAACGCCTAGCTTGTCGGCCGCGCGCACGAGCTCGCACACGCCGTAGGGGGTCTCGTTGCACACGCCCCAGTAGCGTACCTGAGGGGGGGGGAGGCGGAGCGAGAGACTAATGATGAAGCCGCTGAGAGCGATCTTGTGACGGGGAGGTCACAAGAAGCCGTTTTCAAGTGCACGCTTCTGAATGCGCTCTGCGAGCCTCTACGTTCGTCATATTCGCGGTGCTGGAACGAGCAGGCTAAGCCTAGAGACGTCCATGGGCTAGAGACAAAGAATGGATTTCCTCCGTTAACAAGAAAGGAGTCTCCCTGCTTAAAAGGTCTTTCGTCCTTTCGCAGCTCGGCCCATTCGCTACAAGGTCCAGCATAAGCCGTTTTCAGACTGGTATACACTTTCAGTCACCCGTTTCAGCGACGAGTGAAAGGGCGGCAACTGTTCTGATGACAACGAATCTGCAGTGACCCACCTTGCCTTCCTTGATGAGCTTTCCCATGGCCCCCACCGTCTCCTCAAAGGGCACGCTCGGGCGCTCCAACTTGACGTCGTAAACGGATCTGCGGTACAAATGCAAGGGTCAGAGGAAGCAAAAAGTGTCTGCAAATTGGATATGGGGCCTTGCCTTGGAGTTGGTCTTCCAAGCTGTATTTCAGTGGGCGTGGCTTGGACACCTTGTCGGTCCTGCCGGCAGATCGTACAACAGGACCGGAGAGGTTTACAGAGGTTCTCCAAAAACCTCTCAAGAAATCTGCACCGGATACTCAGCAGCCCGTCGAGGTTCAGGGGACTCTAGCCGGCTACAACCGGGGGGGAGGTCAACCAACGGGGACGTTCTGCGGCTGGGAACCAGGAGAGGTCCGCAGGGGGCCCCCAGGGGAGAAGCGCAACGGTGGGCACGATGACGTCACCCCGGCCCGGAAGGGCTTACAGAAATCTTCCAAAAGTCTCTCAAGAAACTTGTCCCGGATACTCGGAACATTGGAAAGTGTACATTGTCCTCATCTTGGTGTCTGGCGGTTCCGTTCGAACACGCCAGCGTCATCGAGCTGACAACAAAGAGCCAAAGAGTTTCACCGATCCAATTGCAGCTCTGTGGGACTGCTCCTGTATCTGCTGGCTTTTTAACCTGGCCAAGGTTGCGCCGTGTATTACATGCTCCCAACTATGCTCTGAACATCCAGGCCACACAGAAAAAGCAGGGGATCTAACTCTACGGAAGCGTCAGACACGCAAGGAACGTGTCTAGGCAATAGCAAAGCGTCCGAGCGAGAGTGCTGTCCGACTCACTGTCCGAACAGCGGCACGTAGCGGTCCGGCCAGTGCAGCTGGTACAGGTCCACGTAGTCCGTCCGAAGCCGCCTCAAGCTGCCCGCGATCGCCGCCTCAATGTTTGCAGTATCCACCCGTGCGTCCATCTTCTCCTTGGAGGGAGGGTTGCTCCGGTTGCCCGGCGTGTGGCTGTTCTTGGAGTAGCCGCAGACCTTGGTGGCAAGAATCACCTGTAGCCGAGGGAAGGACCGGACCCATGACCTCACACAAAGAAAGGGCTCGGGGGTGCCTTCTGCAAATCTCTTCAGATTGGAGGAAGCGGCCATTGTCAAAAGACCGCGTAGAACACGTGCGGGGTCCAAGTACTCTTGCAATTGTGGGAAATTTTAGAAACAAAGAACGGATCTTGCAGGAGGACTGGAATATGCTCAAGGGGGGAAGAGCGTATGCTACCAGAGGAAAAAATCCAGGCAGAGTGGACACAATTCAACAGCGCTGGCCAAGGCCTGCCTGGTCTTAGACAAGCACGCCTCAATCAGGCAGAGCATACTTCTCTCTCAACCTTTGGTCCCATTTGATAGCCTCTCAACCGCCCACTGTTTTCATGGTGGCGGAGCACAAGAACCTGGTAGCTTTGATACAACGCGGTCCTTTAATCAACCTGCTGGTCTCTTCTGAGAGGGTAACAAGAAGAGTGAAGTCGCCCGATGCTAGAATCGGCCACGCACCTTCTTCCTGTCCTGCTTCTCGAGCCATGTCCCGATATACTCTTCTGTCCGCCCGACTGTCTCGGGGTTTGGAGGAGTAGGGTACACCTCAGCGGTGTCTGCACATAGATGGATCAGATTGTCAGGTATGACCATGATAACAAAAGCTGACCACCCGCAACCGGGTGACCTCAGGGAATCAGCCAGCTTAGGTGATCAGAACCTCAGACTGGCCTTCTACGGTTGATTAAGAGTGACCTTATCTCTCTTTCTTTTAGCATCGAAAGCCCTCTTTCTGTTAGAGGAGCCGTATACAGAGGCGAACGTCGTCAATTTAAGAGAGCAGCTGTGACAGCCGTGGGCCTGCTTCAGCGCGAGTTGCCTTATAAATGTTTTTCAAGTTTAAGGCAGGCATCAGATCCCTCTGTCGCAGCGTGCTGCCTTAGCTGCCATCACCCTTAACCTCTCCCAGTCAGAGCAAACCGCTCTTGTGGGTCAAACTGAAAAGTTCTGCTAGATGTGGTGAGGGGGGGTGAAAGCTACATCATTCACCGATGAAATTGATGCCCGCAGCAAAAGCAGCATCCAGAATCTCGTGCGCTTGTACTTCCGTGTTCCTGTACATAAACCACAAGGGCTTGAAGAATCCCCCAGAGGTACTTGAATGCAATATGAGTCGGCGCTTTGATTCTTCTGTTGCAGCCTTGCAGTACCAGCGTAGCTTGCAGACTCTTGGGGTTTGCAAAAACATTGACATAGTGAAGTCTGCAAAAAGCAGCTAGCAGTCACTTCACTTACGGAGATAGCTGCCTACCTGCGCGTCAATCAGCCCAGATTGCCCTGCATTGCAGCGGATCCTCCTGAACAAATGCTGGCTCTACATTGACACATTGCCATCAAGGATAGACTTTACAACCCGTATGCAGCAAGTGCAATGCTTTTAAGGAGGAGGGGCAAGTTGCAAATGTGATGTCGCTCACTGTGAACCAAAGGTCATTGTGCCAATGCACGCTTCCGACACCATCAGATCGGACCATCCTAGTTTCTTCAGCTTGGGCGCCATCCTTGAGAAGCGAGCAACCAGCCGGCTAGCTCCAGAGAGCATCAATTCTCTTCTGCCACGGCTAATATAGGAGCACGACTGCACTGTGCATGTTATGAGCTAGCGCAGTCTGCCTCAAGATTGTCTGGATTCTGCTGATCTGGCGGTGGCAAGAGAGCTGTCAAGATCACCTTGATTGATCTTTCGCGTACCTGCTCTGCAAATTAGCAGAAGCGTGAAGTACTCCTGTTTGTATATTAAGATTTTTCCTAGGTTAGCTGCAGGATAGCAATCCAGCAGAGCTGGCTGACATTAGCTTCCTTCCAAAGACTCATGTGCGTGCTGTGCTGGGCCATACGTCTTCCTAGTGCAGAGTTGCCACCTTACATTGCATGGTAATCTCCCCCTTCTTTGTTTTCAGTACAGCCACAAAGCTACGTCTGAGATTGAAAGTTTTGTAACAGGAGGCTAATTAAAGCCTTGCCTAGCCATGAGCAGTCTAGCAGACCCTACAGCACAACTGATGAACGCCTCTAGAATTCTGCGAACGTTGTTCTCTACCCAGGACTGTCTGAAATTATTCGGTCAGAAGTTAGAACTTCAAGCTGGTTTGACCGAGAGCTGTACATAGCGTGTAATGTAGACCTAAGGCAGCTCAGGGTATCGGCAGGGCCGGGCCGCCGCCTGTAGGCTGTAGCTTTGCTTTTCCGATGCAGAGCTAGAGCTGCAGCCTGAGGAGCTGCAGCGGCGCAGCCGCTGTGCTGCTTCCGATCTCGACTTTCAATGACGTCAGGTCCTTCACGACGGAACGGAGTCCGTCGTCCAATGATTGGATGACGGCATTGCAATAAGTCGTAGCTAGCTGAGCGGAGGTGGCGCGTCCGCCGACCGCCCGGCAAAGGTGCCGGCCGCGAAGAGCGGCTGGAGTCAGGACTCAGGAGTCTGGTCGCCTCTGGAGTTTGCAAAGTTCGCCAAGCATTTATCTTTTGTTCTGGCGCTTACAATGACAGATGTCGCTCATGCATGGTAGAGGGTGGCTGTAGCCGCCCTCCGCCTTTCTGCGGCGTTCTGCAGCGGCCCGCCTGCGGCCTGCTCAGTGCTCAGTAGGCCCGTCAACTGAACGCATCAATGGTGGAGCATGCAAAGCAAGCATCAGTACCGGTACAATGCAGCTACCTACAGTCCCAAGCCCTTGCAAAAGTAAACAAGTGCAGCACGGAACTAGCTGCCACCTGAACAAGTGTCTCAAAGCATAGCCTATGGTTATTAAACCGCTGCAAGGTGGTTTCACTACTAGTCCTAACACATAGGTACGACGTCCTGCATTGTGCTTAGCTAGCTAGGTATACCTAGATCAGAAGCGGAACTCACTTTGCACTCGGATCGTTAAGGTTGTCAATCATAGCCTAGCTAGGTACCTAGTTCGATCCCTCTGATCAGCCACTGACTCCACTAAGATTTCGCTGCGCGTCAGCAGTATGGAGTTGCATGCACTGTATATACAATGATTCTGTGCTAGATACCTCAACATCATGACGTGGACGCTGTTTGAAGTTAGTTTGCGAGGCCTAGCTGCAGCTATGATAACTAGCTGGGCCACTCCGGCGCCTGCGTCACTTCGGCGGTAGAGCTGACCATCGGCCCCTCTCAAAGTTCGCACCCCAGCTGAAAGCATGCACTCAAGCAGAAGGCAGGGTCTGGAGTTCTATTTGCCAGCAAGAGACTTTCTGTGACTACTCTTATGAGTATTGAGGGGATCCCAGTTGCCCAATATCCGAGCAGCTCAAGGGCCAGATCTCAGGGACGCCTTGTTATCTCAGGCGCCGGTGCCAGCTTTACATCTCCTCTTAGGGCAGAACACAGGTTAGTAGATTCAGCTACGATGACCTCTATGCGGCAATGCTGGTACCTTCTCAGCACCACCTCAACTTCTGCAGCCTCCTTTTTGGGTCAGGCTGGATAACCACCCCGCTAACCGCGACCCAAATGGGCCTGCTCCTCTCCTCCTTGTCCATGGTCGGTTTGGGCCTGGTTAACGCCTTTGCCTGCACGGTTATGCTCCAGGCAGCCGAGGAGTTTGGCACCCCGGAAAGTTACCACGACTTAACCCAAAAAGTGTTGGGCACTCGGTGGGCGCAGCTCTTAGACGCTTTCATCGTGTTGGGCGAGTTGTTTGCGTGCTGCCAGCGCCTGATCCTGATGGGGGATTTTGCGGTTAGCATCAAACACCGGCTGATAACCCACCGGTTTATGCCTAACCGGCCCCTGATTGTCCTGCTCCGAGCGGCGGTCCTGATCTGGCCTCTAATCTATACCAAGAAGCTGCAGTTCCTGAGCAAACTTTCGTTTGGCGCTGTTCTGTGCACCTTAACCGGCTTTGCTATCCTAACCTACACATTTATTGACACCGCCGTAGGGGAAGGGTTACCACTCGATGACGTAGTTCTAGCTAACTGGAGCCCAGATCTAATGCTCGCCCTGTCCATCCAGCAGTTCGCGGGCCAAACCGGGATCATTCCGCTTTACCGGGAGATGCGCGACCGCAGTCTGGCCAAGGGCAAAGCATTAGTCTACATCTCCTTTTCAATCTGCGGGCTGCTCTACGTCAGCTTTGGGACCTTGGGCTACCTTCAATATCCGGGAACTCAAGAGGCCAACTTCTTTAACCTGTACGAGGACAAGCCAGGCGCCCTATACACCGCCCTCTACATTTCCCTCGCTAGTGTTGTCGTTGTGTTCCCGCTGAATGTAATCATCGGGAGACTGCATTTGGGTTACCTTGTCCTGGGCCCCAAGCGAGCGGAGGAGCGAAAGTGGGCTGTTCTTTTTGCGACCCTCTTTTTCCTCGGCTCCCTGGGGATTGCGGTGGCCATCAAGAACCTGGGCGTTGTGCAGGGGATGGCTGGCGGCATTGTGCTGAGCTTTGTAAACCTGGTTGTGCCGGGGTATGCGCTCTTGAAACTGCTGGATAAGGAGCGGAAGGGCGGGGGTAGTGGAGTGCGGAAGTTTGAGAACCACGCTTTTGAGATGCGAGAGGAAGGCACGAAAGAAGCGCACGAATCTAGCCCAGGCCGCAGCCAAGCTGGTGAGGGGAGACGACCGAACGCCAATGAAGATAGAGACGCTGCGCGGTCGTCTCCTGAACGGTCGGGGTCAAGCGACGAAGCAAGCGAAGGAGACGAGGCTCAGCAAAATGGGCAAGGCGCTGATGGGAGATCCGAAAGGAAAGCCGGGAAAAACGGACAGGGGGGCCATGATCAGGCTCCGGCGGGTAGTCCGGACGATCCCCCAAAGCCCCAGTCTAGTTCGCGTCTCTGGCTGGGCAAGTCTGCAGCTTACGGCTTGTTTGCGATAGCGCTGCTACAGGCCGGAGTAGCGACTGTGGGCAATGTGGTGTCTCTCTGCCTGGTGGGGTGGGACGACTCGAGCTCGACTTTCTCCGACTGATAGCCACATAGCCTCGTCAAATTCTATATCGTCCTTGATCAGCTCGCTATTTTCGACTAGGTGAAGGTGTTAAGTTATCAGATTTGGAGGTGTATCAAAAGGCTTAACTTCACAAAGAGTTGAGGGGATGCTGAGGAACAGTTATAAAGAGTTGATGGGTTGCTGAGGAACAGTGCATATAAATATGAGTTGAGCCTTAAGGTGGAACCGAATACGCTGAAACTTATCATGATCATTTTTAGCGACAGCAGGTTTTCCCGAGCCTTGAAATGAGGAGTTGTGATTGTAAGCGCATTCCTAGCCTTTACTCTGGTCACGTCATGAAGAAACTCTAGCGAGATGCTGTCGGAGGTGTTGAGTAAGTAATGTCCACGAGCCAGAGTTGACTTCAGGGGTCTCTGATAGTGGTAGCAAAGAAAAAGCTGATCTGTTATCGTAAAGTTGTTGATTGTTACCCAAGTTGCTTTCATCAATGTCATCCGTCGGTGTGAACTCAAGGAAACTCGAAGGGCTGAATTAATCGTGAGGCATCCAATGCCATGCATGACCAAATGTAGCACACAACAGCTCATCGCGGATATGCGAGTGACACATCCGGCCGCGTGTATAACAACGTCGAACCAATTGAACGAAGTTGCAGCAGAATCAATTCAGCCACTTATAGAGATTGCATGCTCTGATTTCCTTGCGCTATCTGAAACATCGACAGTTCTCTGGCCGCGAGCTTGAAAATAAGACAAGCTCAAGGGGAACGGAATGTCTGTAGAGCAGCGAAGTCTGCCGTAATGGCTTTCTCTCCCTCCATGCTTTGGAAGACTGCAGAATCGCTGCGCACGCGGCGCCTCCGCTCATGATCTTGCCCGTTGCACCGGCCCGCATGGCCACAGTAGGATATGAATTCATTACCAAGTTTCGAGACTCCACTTGTACCTCCGCAAGCACTGAGTGAAGAACGATGGCCTATTATCTAGGTCGAAGTCTTGTGCGATTCCGTCAATCTCATATCGGACTTGCCGTTCTCGGCATTGACAGAGCCGCCAATTGCACCATGTAATCTTGCTCTAAATTTATTTGAGAACTTCGACCATTCCGTCCTGCACCGTGCCTGGTCAATAATCTGAGGCCATTGGTTTAAATGAGGGACAATAGAAGGGCAGGTTGAATCGAGCTCATATAACTCCACCCGCTTTAATCGAGCCAGGTAGCAGTCAAATGTGTATTCGAAATCTGTTACATGCATGTTATGTCACGATGCCATCGGTGGTCCGTATTAGAGATTGCGCTCTTGCGACCGCTGATTTCTAATCGACGATGCCAATTTAAGTAAGTCGAGCCGAGCCCACCGGATTCCTCAAGTGACTGATGGAGCGTTTATTATCCTAAAGCGGGTGCACAATGTCAACTTCGACGGGGGTGGTAGCTTAATGGCAAAGCGCCGGCGCGGTCTGTGGCCTGAGGAGGAAGGACCGTCCCTCAGTTTTCTGCCTTGAGCAGCCAGGGGAGAGTGCCCGGAGCTCAACTGGGCTCCGGTTTAACTGAGTACCCGCGCCACTTACCGATCATTGGCTGAGCACCCCCGGGTGCTGGGAGATGCGGGTTCGACTCCCGCCAGCTCCACCCACTTTTTGGTCTTAACTGAAGTCTTACCTTCAAAGTTCGGGACATGCCGTTGGAGGCCATTTTGGAAGCGAGTGAAAAGGTGAGAATCTAATCGATTTCTGCTTCATAAAGTACGAACGGGTCACGCGCAGGCTGGTTGCTATTCAATGCTGGAAAAAACAAAACCTATGTGTGAAACCCTAGAATGCATTTCTCACAAGCGGTCTCAACCTCCGAGGTTTCCGACAGAGTTTCCCCAGGATTGGGGCCATGAAATTTCTGCCTAGCTCTAGCAGATTGCGCGGTCCCCAAAGGAGGACCGCCCGTCAAGCTTTACAGAAGATCAACCCCCGCACCAGCGACTGGTATAGCGACATGGTCTGAGGGGTATTATTTTTAATCTGGCGAGCCCCTAGCCGTTGACGTGGTGAACATGTCCAAACTGGTAGCAACGGCATTCTGCTCTTCTCATTGTATCCGCAATTTCATGTACTGGGAGAAAGTACAAGATCCCTCCGAACTTCAGAACGGGAAGGAGTTTTTGGAGAACTTGGAGAACCAGAAGAACGAACACCTAGTGCAAGTGCGCTTGCTTTACCGGCGGAAGGAGCACAGAAGTTTAAAGTTATTTAGAATTGCAATCAGAAGCCCGAAAATTTCACGTGAGAATTACGATGATCTGGACTCGATTCTGGCCCAAGAGATTCCAACGGCTGACAGTACTATTGAATCCCCGAATTTCCAACAAGTCAGCTGATCGCCTGCACTGGTTCGGTAGATATTTAAATCATCGTCCTCTACTGCGATCTGTGGTCAAGAACAGCTTGAAACATTCTGCCAAAGAAAGTAAGACGAAGCACCGATCAAGTCAGCCTCACGTACCGACACATCTGATTTGCAACAGAGGTCGAGCCTTTTGATGGTCGTAGCGAGTATCTAGCGTCTACATACACGTAAGAGACGGTTCGAAGCGTCTGCACTTTGAATTACAAGTAAGTCTACTAAGATTGCTTCCTTCAAATCAACTCGAAGTGCCCACTTTGGGTGCTGAACTGCATGCGCTGAGAAAACGCTGTCGTCAATTAAAGGAGCGCCAACCGGTCGCAATTGGCGCCGGTCTCATGGCCTGACTTTGATTTGGATCTTTTGCAAAGGGCGGCTTGTGCTGGGGTGTACGAGACCTTGCGCGACACGGGTCCGGCCGAAAACTGCAAGCGATACGCGAATGAGTCCTGCCAGCAAACAACGCTCCGTCAGGAGCGCCCATATCCGTCAACCTATCGATCGACGATTACAAACATGCAAACGTAAGCTTGATCCACAAAAGTCGACAACCCACAAACGACAGTACAACTGGTCGAAAGCTTCGATACTTCGGATCATATTCATCTCCAGGGGCTGTATCTCGATGGGCAGAGCGCCGAACCCTCCGGCCGTATGGTTAACATGGTTCGGACGGAGGGATCCCCCAAGAGGAGCCACAGCCTGCTGAGAGCTTGCTGCGAGCCGCGCGCGGCCGCGCTTCGCCTGTGTATCCGGCCAGAATTGCACCGAGAGGTGCACGAGGTCAGCCGGGGCTTCCTCGGGGCTTGCGCCACCGAGGGGCCTCCAACCTCCGGGCAGCGCAAATGCCGGCCGGCTGGGAGACGCGGGTTTCGAGTCCCGCCAGAGTCCAGTATCTTTTAGTTTCTGATGGTTTTTCTGTTCTTGAGAATGGTCAAGCGAGCTCACGTCTTAGCCTGCTGCCGTGATGACCTGGCCTGTAAGGAAAAGGAAATGCAGATGGGATACACAGCATTGGAAGCCTACTCTACTACTTCTAATTCCTTCCGCCGGTCTACCATTTTGAGAAAAGCTTTTTGGGCTGTGTATGGCGCTTCTGGAGAGGGCCTAGCTGACCGGAATCTGGAATCACGAAATGGCCACTGATCATTGGGCCTGACAGTCGAATCCTTACAAGGCTAGGGTGCCAGCGCGCCGTTGTTTTCGAGCGAGCGCCCAGCCGTTCCTCTGATGATTGTATCTGGCCACTGAAAAGCTGACGGTTTCTCAACCGGCTTTGGCGACGGTGTGCTTGATCGACTCCGCGGCTAGGATCGCTAGGAGTCCGTCAGTCCGGGTCACATTCTTGTACCACTGGTGCAGCATCATCCAACTGGGACCCTCAAAAAAGCAGAAAGCTCGTCCGACTTTTGATTGGATCAAGAGAGCTTGTAAGCTTTGAGTATCTTCGTGTACGGCGCCCATGTGCTTCCAACTCATGCGCAGAACAACAGAACGCTAAACCAAAAGTTTCCTAGTTCATACGCTGAAGTTTAGGTCTGCATGGCCAATCATGGGATCAGTCTATGGTGTTCTTTAGTTCAATTTTCCCCCAAGGAAGAGATGATCGATGTAGCATCACCACGTCGTCACTGTTGAAAAGGAGATTGGATTACGTACACAACAAGTTTGGCTTTCTCTAACTGTTTGTCCGGTATATGAGGTATTTCAGGGTAACTTCTGATCAACGGATGCATTGAGGGTGGAAAATGAAATCGTGCAACGATGCAGTTCTCGATCACTGAACGCGGGTACACTCTCACAGCTGGCTTTGCATGCTAGGGGCGACAATCGTTTCAGTAATTTCATGGTCTCTGCCAATGCGCGGCTTTTGTGGAAGTGCGGCCTCGCCTTAGCCTGCAGCCAACCTGCGCCGAGATTTTTAAAATCGATGCCGCGCGGCCGCCGCCGAGTCCGCCAGGTTTCGCTCCATCGGCACCGTCCGCGGCGCCATCGACGGTCCACTTCTGACGGGACCCACAACTGATGACTTCAGATTATCCGCGGAATATATATCGCAATTTACCGCCCGGTGCCATTTATCGAGCAGGGGCTGTAGCTCAACTGGCAGAGCGCCAATTTGAAAGACCCCGGATCGCGTGCGCGAAAATCTGCGCCGTCTCGAAGAGTCCCGCGCCGAGCACATTCCCCGGGCAAGCAGGGCACTGCGCTGCGGCTAGGGGGCGAGACCGGAGGACGCTGGCAAGAGACCGGGAGTTCCTGGGCTGAGAGATGCGGGTTCGAACCCCGCCAGCTCCACTGCCGCCAACTTTTTATCAGTTCAATTTAGGACATAGATTCAACACCAGTCGACGACTGGTACTCGCCACCTTTTGTTGTTGGGCAGGTGTCTGGCTGCTTTTGATTATTTCCCACAAAAGACGAAATGTGTGTTACCTGTTTAACACCGTGATGGGCGACTCACGTCACGTGGGGTGCTTCTGGCAAAGTCGTCATACTGCGAACCTTGCATCAGCTTGACTCTGGCTTTGGGGTACCAGTAATCAGACAGCCTATCTTCGAGGTGCCGCGGTCTTAATTTGTTTGGAGAAAGTTGGCGCAGGATCTGATGCACCAGT